CAATTGTGATCCTCACAATCTCCAATTACCCAATTAGAGATTCTGGAGATCCCTATGGGGATTCCTTCTGATTCCCCCCTTCATCCATTCTCCCTCACCTTGCCATGTACTTATAGAGCCTTGGGCTCCTTGCCTAATTAATTAATTCAGCTCTATTTCTTACATGGTATCAGAGCGACCTATCCGCACACGCAGATCAAGGTCCTAGTCTTAACGTGCCCGCTCTACGTGCAGATTATCGTCGCGACATTTGTCTCGAGTCATCGGAATTTTCGACGTGCTCCACTTTGCAGTCGCACTTCTCATCGTCGGCCGCCTTCGCGCTCGACCTCCTTGAATTTCTCAACTCGAAAGCTTTCACGCTTCTCATAGTCGAATTCCTCCTCGGTTCTCCTTTGTCGAATCTCAATTTCGACCATCTCTTAAAACTTGTTTTCAAGTTTCCCCTCGGGCCCCGCCAGAATAGGCGAACTCCCCTCGCGGAATCGCCTCTACGAACATCTCGCGTCAAGCAAGAGCAGGTACACAGGTTGAAGCGGAGCGAAGCTGGTTGCGGAGCTGTGTAGCTGCGGGATAGGGCCTGGGGGTGTGTGGGGGGGTGTGTGGGTCTAGGGTTAGACATAGATTTAGATTCAGTTTCATGTCGGCGTTTTAACGAATTTCCGCTGACGCCATTTCCTTCTTAGCGGCGTTTCGACGAAGCGGCTGGAATGATTTTCAGCAATTCTCTTCGACCGATTTCCAGAATTGCCGCGTTGTGCACCGAAGTTCCTATCGGTGACTTAAGATTGTCGCTTCGCGAAATCAAGCGGCAATGGCTTACTCAATCACTTCACTCGCCAACCCGATCCCGCTCCTTTGTCTCGAGCCGGACGGTACATGCTCCAACTACAAGGCTTGGCGCTATGGTATCAACAAGCACCTCCTCAGTCGCGAGGTGAAGGGACTCGAGCTCACCAACGTCCTTCTCAACATCAGGGATGGCAAAGAGCCTCCTAAACCCGAGAGGTCCGTCGATCCAGCTAATGCTGCCGCCGAAGCAGTTTATGTTGCTGCACTGCTCAAGTACAAGAATTAGGAGAAGGCCGATGGCACAGTCATTAGTGTCTTCATGGGCACCACTCCTCCCGAACTCATCAAAACCTACCACAACTACTCGTCTGCCAACGCCATTTGGCTCTACCTCAAAGGCCACTTCATGAACAAGACTGTAGTGGGAGTTGCTACAGTGACGGAAAAGACTGTCCATATCTTGACCCTTAGAGAGGCTAAAATGTGTGTGTATTTTTCATACAGAGTCTTAAAAACAGGGGGCTTTAATGTACTAGTATAATGCCTCTTTAGCAAGAAGAGAACATGTCATGCAGCCTGAAAGGGCATGTTTATAATGCCAAACCAACAACCACATTCACCAAGCACTATTCGGACACTATTGGCCAGATTTGAAGAAAGTGTTTAACAATCCAAAATCAGTACCTAGTCCACCTCCCCTTAGCCCTAACCACTGCCTTCACCCTCCTAGGCATACTGTTGATGAGGCCCCTACACACATCCGCCCCAATGCCATCCCAGGTTTCTTGCACCCGCTCCCAAGTCTGGAGCATCCCTGTGGGGGGGTGCTCATACTTGGCAAGCTCCCTTTTGAGGTGTGCCCATAGGTGCTCGATGGGGTTGAGATCAGGGGAGGAGGAAGGCCCCATGAGGACTGCATACGGCTGCTCAGCCAGCCATGCTTGCACAAGGCGGCTCTTGTGCTTGGGGTCGTTGTCATGCTGGAAAATTACATCCGAGGGGGTTAGAATATAGAAATCGATAATTTGAGCAAGCTCATCATGTAAAATGCTTCTGTACAGCTCCCCATCCATGCGGCCATCAATCTTACACATATAGCCCGGGCCATCATAAGTCATGCATCCCCATACCGTCAATGACCCGCCCCCATGCTTGACGGTTTGCTGAATGTGGTGACGTTGCAGGGCCGCCCCGTCGCGTATCCACGCGTACTTGCGGCCATCACTGGAAAAGCGGTTGATCTTGGTCTCGTCGGACCAGATAACCCACTTTCAGTCTTCAATGGTCCAGTCAAGATGCGCCCTGGCGAAATCGAGTCGGTCTCTGATATTTCTGGCAGAAAGTCGCGGCTTCTTCGGTTTCTGCACGGCTACTAAACCGGAGTTCTTAAGGGCGTTGCGCATGGTTCTAGGGCATATCTTGATGACGCGCTCCGATTCCAGAAGTTTCGCGGCTTCTATGCTAGTATTCGCTTGGCCAAAAGTGACGGCTCGGACCAGAGAGCGCCTATCACGAACCGAGAGTATGCACGGTCGGCCGTTCCTAGCAACATTCGGCCTGACCGCTAGGCTGCTCGAGCCCTGGGAGGCTTCGTGAGCATATTTCTGTACCGTGCTATTTCCTATTCCTAATGCTTTAGCGATTTGTCGAATACTCTGGCCATGTCTAATAAGTGTCGCGATCCTATCTTTCTGGCTCGAAAGAAGCGGTCGCATCGTCGCTGGGGGCTTGGCGTAGTTGCCGCTGGACTATCAAGAGAAAAATGGCAGCGTAGGTTGCGAGGTCGCATAATGCAGGCAGGAAATAGATCTGGATGCGAAGTGGGCCTAAAGTTTCCGCATCGAGTAACGAACGCTTATTATTGTACTCTTTACAATAAACTCGATAAAAGTTACAGCACCCAAGTGCATTGAGTAGCTGACGTCAAGGGGCACAGTTTGCAATAAGTTATGGTTGGGTTATGACAACATATCATGCAAAAATCACAAAGTCTATGTACTACAGTGGATTAATAAGCCCACTTATTTCCGTCACTGTATACTTATCCCTAGCATGTTCCAAGTGCAGAGCGAGGACTCGCCAGGCATGGCGGACTATGTCACCAAGGTGCAGTCCATTCATTGTAAACTCCAGCAGTTGGGGATAGTCTTCCCCAAGCAAGCCCCTGCAGCCGCTCTCCTAGTCGACCTCACTCCGGCATACGAAGTCACACGCAATATGCTCTTTGGTCTTGCTCCTGCGGACCTCACATCCGCACTCCTTTTTGCCAAAAAGGACAAAAGTGCTCAAGCCAAGGCCAATGCAATCCGCGCTCCCGTGCCTCAGGCCTATGCCGCTTCGGCACCATTCCAGCACAACCGCTTCCCCCCGTGTCCCTACGCCATCAAGCATGGCCCTCGTGCCGGCCAGGTGTGTGGTGGCACCAACCACGCCCTCGCCTCCTGCTTCAAGAAGAAGGATGACGAGTAGTATGCTGCCAATGGGACCGCCTTGAAGCCGCCAAGTTGGATGGTCAATCGTGCTCCTCGCATCAATTAAGTCAAAGCGCAGGAATCCGTGCAGGCTGTTGTAGATCCCCCTGCTGATGTGTGCCTTAACATGTTGTTTCCTGGCACTGCCATGATTAATGAGACAACTTTGTAGTGTCCCGGCTCACAAAGCACCTCAGCCACAATAGAGTTCACCCTTGACAGTGGGGCCGCTCACACTGTTCTCAAGGAAGAACATCCCTTCAAGCCGTACGAGACACCAATCCGTCTACTAGGAGCAGACTCCTGTTTCACAACACACGCCAAGAGCTCCTCCACTGTTCCGTGCCCAGCTTCCCCTTCGGGTAGTGTCACCGGCATGTGTGTTCCCACACTACACCACAATCTCGTGGCCCAACACGAGCTCCAATGGACAGGCGTCACCACGATCTTTCTAGCACACTCGGATCACTGTAACCTCCTCGACCCTAACTCCAACAAGCTCCTAGCATGCTTCACACTCAACGGCAGCAAGCTCTACACGATGCGTTCACCTGCAACTCTCGCCGCCCTCTCCCAAGCGCAAGCTGCCAACACTACTTCGTGTTCCTGTCGCAGCTTCGCCAACCCAACCATCCTCTACCACCATCACTTGGGTCACCCCAACTTCCGTACGCTTGCCGACATCACTTCCAAGAAACTTCTTCTTGGCCTCCCATCGGTCCTTCCTCCACCAACAGACTCAGTTGCACCCACCTTCCTCCCCATCCTTCACAGCTGCTCCGCTGGATCTAGTGCACATGGAAGTCTTGGGCCCAGCTGCAGTCGCATCCCGAGGCGGTCATTGATACAGTGGCGGAAACAATTGTCCACATGTTTAGCATATTTTTACATTTTGACGAGCTGTACGCTATAAACATTAAGTCTTAATTCATGGTGGCCATACACGTAGAGAGGAGCAGTTAGAGCACTCACTCAAATCTCCTAAAACCAGAGTAGTATATTTCATGGTCCTTCAAGATGACAACATTTAATAACAGCACATCCGGACAAATTGTACCGGGGACAGGCAGCAAACTAGTTACTAGCAAAACTAGTACCTAGTCAACCGACACTTGGCCTTGATCACCACCTACACCCTCCTAGGCATGTTATCTGCGAGGTTAGTGCAAACCTTTACAGGGATCTTCTCACACTCTTCCTGGACCTGTGGAGGGTTTAGGCGACGGGGCCGCGTGGCGGCTAGGAGACGGGGCCGGCTAGGCGGCTAGGCGACGGGGCCGCAGACGGCTAGGCGACGGGGCCGCGTGGTGGCTAGGAGACGGGGCCGCAGACGGCTAGGAGACGGGGCCGCGGGCGGCTAGGCAACGGGGCCGGCTAGGCGGCTAGGCGACGGGGCTGCTGACGGCTAGGCGACGGGGCCGCGGGGCGGCTAGGCGACGGGGCCGTTGGACGGCTAGGCCACGGGGCCGCAGACGGCTAGGCGACTGGGCCGGCAAGGCGACGGGCGGCGAGGCGCCTGGGCGGCTAGGCGACGGGGCCGGTTAGACGACGGGGCCGGCTAGGCGACGGGGCCGACTAGGCGACAGGGCCGGCGAGGCGACGGGGCCAGCTAGGCGCTAGGTGACGGGGCCACTAGGGGACGGGCTAGCACAGGCGGCAGGGCGACGGGGCGGTTAGGGCCCACGGCGGAAGCGCTGGTGGGTGGGGGGGACCTAACCTATTCATGATACCATATCAAAGCGAACGAATGACTGGAATGGTAGGATAGAAGGGAATACAACTTTGGGGGTTTTACTCTCTAAGGCACGACCCTATATAGTCTATAACATACAACGATATGTTTGACACTAACGACTAGCTCCCATTGCCTTTGCCTCCTCCCTTTTCACTACACCAGTGATTTACCCCTCCGTCTCTCGGTCCCAGCCCATGTATACCACCACCCCACCACCACCCCCCAGCCACCCCACACCGGGCCCCCGCCCCCGCCCCCGCACTACCCCCCCCTTCACCCGCACTCCTCCAGTCACAACAGCATCGCATCCACGAAGCCCAAGAGCGTGTCCACGTCGCGCTTGCCGCGGTGCATGCCCAGCTGCCGCTCACCGTCGAACAGCACTAGTGTAGGAAACCCTGGGATCTGGAACTCCTCGGCGAGCTGCGGGTAGCGGTACGCGTCCACGCGCGCCACCTGCACGTTGAAGTCCTTCTCCTTCAGCTTCTGTGCCAGGTCCCGCCATGACTGCTCCATGCGCTTGCAGTGAGGGCACCACGGCGCGTAGAACATGAGGAACGTGGGCCTGGGGGGAGATGGGGGGATGGGGTGAAGGGGCAGGAGAGGGGAAGAGGAAGGGGGAGGAAAGGGGGTGGGGGTTGGGGGGTTGTGGGGGGTTGTGGGGGGTTGTGGGGGGTTGTGGGGGGGTTGTGGGGGGTTGTGGGGGGTTGTGGGGGGTTGTGGGGGGTTGTGGGGGTGTGGGGGGTTGTGGGGGGTTGTGGGGGGGGGGGTTGTGGGGGGTTGTGGGGGGTTGTGGGGGGTTGTGGGGGGTTGTGGGGGGTTGTGGGGGGTTGTGGGGGGTTGTGGGGGGTTGTGGGGGGTTGTGGGGGTTGTGGGGGGTTGTGGGGGGGGTGGGGGGTTGTGGGGGGTTGTGGGGGGTTGTGGGGGGGGGGGGGGGGGTTGTGGGGGGTTGTGGGGGGTTGTGGGGGGTTGTGGGGGGTTGTGGGGGGTTGTGGGGGGTTGTGGGGGGTTGTGGGGGGTTGTGGGGGGGTTGTGGGGGGGTTGTGGGGGTTGTGGGGGGTTGTGGGGGGTTGTGGGGGGTTGTGGGGGGTTGTGGGGGGTTGTGGGGGGGGGGGGGTTGTGGGGGGTTGTGGGGGGTTGTGGGGGGTTGTGGGGGGTTGTGGGGGGTTGTGGGGGGGGTTGTGGGGGGTTGTGGGGGGGGGGTTGTGGGGGGTTGTGGGGGGTTGTGGGGGGTTGTGGGGGGTTGTGGGGGGTTTGTGGGGGTTGTGGGGGGTTGTGGGGGTTGTGGGGGGTTGTGGGGGGTTGTGGGGGGTGGGGGGTTGTGGGGGGTTGTGGGGGGTTGTGGGGGTTGTGGGGGGTTGTGGGGGTTTGTGGGGGGTTGTGGGGGGTTGTGGGGGGTTGTGGGGGGTTGTGGGGGGTTGTGGGGGGTTGT